TCATTTCTAAGCCACTCGTCCGACAACTGTTAAAATTATTCCCGTGACAGCTCATTGTATAGTTTACAAGCGTATAAAACCATTTTGGGGAGAATTTTCCAGAAAAAAAGTTATTCGTGATGGAATTTAAGCGTAATAGTATTTCGCTGGAAAACCACAAGTGACTATCGTTAGAGCACTCATCAGCAGAAATGATTCGAAAAGTAAAGAAGCGACTTGATCGAAACCCGCGTCGCAGTGGCGAGAAATGGCTCGTGAGCTGAACATATCGCAATATTCCATTTGGCAAATATTGAAAAATGAGCTCGGGGTAAAGCCATTGAAATTCCAAAAAGTGCAAGAATTTGTACCGCAACAGAAAGAAAGTAGACTCAAAAGAGCATGGCCGAAAGTGGTGAACTGCCGATTTTGGTTTTCTCCGATGAGAAAACATTCGTTGTCCAGCAGTTTGTAAACAAACAAAATGATCGTGTTTACTTGGCAAAGAGGTAAGCTGAAGAAGTGCATCTTTGCTTGGCCACCAGAACTCAAGCCATGGCGTTGGTGTGGGCCGCCGAAGGTGGCTCTGCGCTCGTATTAATAGATTATTATTATGAATAAATGCCGAATATTACCGTGAAAATATTCTGGAGGGTGTATTGAAGCCTTGGGCACGCAAACGTTTTGGCCGCAGACATGTGATATTCCGACAGAAATGGTTACAAAATGAGGTTCAACGCTTCATTTCCAGCGCACAATGACCATCAAAATTTTTTTACATATTTTTTACATTTTTTTTAAATTTATTTTTCCCAACTGTCAATTAACAAAAAACTCAGCCGTGTAATCCAACGATCTGGTACCTTCAACATTTAAATGCATTTGAATGAAGTTTTGACCTATTCCACCAGCGGCAACAAAACAATTGACATTTTGATTTGTAACTGTGAATACTACTTCGGCAAATGCTATAGTGGAACTTTCGCCTGCGCCCCCGCCATTGGGACATTTTAGGTTCAGCTCAACATCATGGGGTTTCGGCCATGTACTATGATCCCTGCTGGCACAATCGATGCGAGCTGTTAAATAACAAATTCATAACGGCCTGTTTAGGTACGTCGAAAAAATGAATGGGAAATAAAAACAACATTTATGTGGGTGTTTTCCAAACATAAACTAATTCAAAAATGTCAAGAATCGTAGAATTCGTATTTTTCTTTCGCATTCATTTTTTCACTGCCAAATTTCGAATATCTTACCTGTTTTTCGTTGACCCACCGAACACTTAAAGGTGAAAAAATAACAACCCAATAGATCTTGCTCAACCATCAACTACTTCAATTCCACAATTTGTGTTTGATTCGACTCAATTGCCCTCAGATTTTCATTGGCATATAGGTGGGACATGCTGCTCAAAATAATAAGCGTAATAAAGTGCTTATTGGTAATGAACATTTTCTTTGAATATTGTGCGAAGGGAAATTGATTGGGAACTGCCATGCATTTAACAACTTAATGAGTTTTTATATTCTGCACGACACTTTGTTTCGGCTTATTATATTGAAAGAACCTTATCTTTGGACACACAATTTCGGAACATACGTTTTTGAATTTGCCGCAAAGGTTATTTTTAATTTGCGAATACTGATGAATAAAGATTATATAATAGGAATGATAAATATTTAAAATTTTTTTTCTCAAAATTTGAAAATATTTCATTTCAATATTTTGAATTTAATTTATATTCCAGCTGTCTTATACCACAGAAGATGGAAGCCATTACAAACTCCACATACCGAATTTTAAACAATTATGCAGTAATATGTGGCTTAAATCAGCAGAATACAGTTTATCTTGAAGTACCAAATTCCTTGCAAGGAGAGAAAAGACCTACCGAAAACCCAAATTGTGAAGTTGAGCTAATTTGGTTGGAAATTGAACAGAGACCTTCAATATAACGAAAATAGGGAGCTACCGTTATAAGAGGGCTAAATCAATTAGTGGACCTAAAGCGCATATTTTTAGCAGGGAGAGAAAAGCCCTACCAAAAAAAAAAAAAAAAACCAAATGTAAAGTATTAGCTGAATTAATTGGAAATTGTGGCAGAAACCTTGAAAATACCGAAAATCTAGAGGTACCGATATATAAAGGCTATATCTATATTAATACAGGTTGAGATAAAAAAAACTGCAGCAAAGTCAAACGCCATAATTTTCACATTTTTTTTTAATTTTATTGAATGAAAGCAAAATCAGCATCAAATTTTAGAATACATTTAGATTTGTTCGAATTGGTCACCTTTGGCACGAATTATGGCCTTCAAACGGCCGATTAAACCGTCACACCCTACCCGAATGTTGCTCTGCGATAATTTGGATCATTACCGGCGAAGCGCTTGCTTGGTGATCGACACTTTAGTATTTTTTTGGTCCCAACCATGCATTCCAAAATACTCCAAACACAATAGTCCAACGGATCTGGAGATTTTGGTGGCCATTGTGCGCTGGAAATGAAGCGAGGAACCTCATTTTGTAACCATTTTTGGGTGGCACGTGGTGAGTGTGATGGTGCTGATTCCTGTTGGAATGTCCAAGGTCTGTGGCCAAACTGTTTGCGTGCCCAAGCCTTTATTCTGATGCGATTAATACGAGCGGAGAGCTACCATCGGCTGTTATGGCTGCCCACACCATCACCATGGCCGGCGCTTGAGTCCTGATGGCCAACCCAAGGTGCACATTTTCAGCTGACCTCTTTGGCAAGGAAATTCGATAATTTTGTTTGTTTACAAACTGCTGGTCAACGAATGTTTTCTCATCGGAGAAAACCAAATTCGGCAGTTCACAACTTTCGGCCAAGCGAAGCAACTCTTTAGCTCTTTTGAGTCTACCGTCTTTCTATTGCGGTGTAAGTTCTTGCACTTTTTGGAATTTCAATGGCTTTACCCCGAGCTCATTTAAATGATATATTTTCGTTGATAAGAACACTTTATATTTTCGATAAATTAAGCACTTCCTCCAAATTCGCTGCAAAATTTGCTTTAAATTTCACTGTCCAGTAGCCATTCTGGATTGTGGAAAATTCCAAAGTGGATTTGATAGTACTCGGTTTGTAGATCAAAAACCCATAAATGATTCGGGTTCTTAGACTAAACATTTTGAAGGCCTTGGCCATTTAGAGAAGGTCCTCAATAATATTTGAGCTATATTTCGCAACATTTGATTCAGAGTTTTGGTATTGATCAATTAAACTAAAAGAATACTTATAGGGAGTTCGGAAAAAGTTTCAAATTTATCGAAAATAAAACCAGTAAGGAAAAGTCAAAGGTCGGACGGCGCTGACTATATGATATCCTACACCACTTTGCATATTTAGTACAGCTCACGTAACAAGATAATTTATTTGAAGTAGATCATACCACCTATCAACATTTGGCTTTAGAGCAGTTACAGTTTGGTTTCGATTTTCACTAAATTTGATGGAGACATTTTAATATTTTATACCAAATAACATGCTATGGAATGCATGATACCACTTCGAAAAGGATTATATTATAGATATTCCAAAATTCAGGTCATTTGGACTTATATTGGTTTGATTTGATGCATAATTAACCCGAAATCGGTTAAGGATATATATGGAAGCTATATCCAAATCTGAACCGATCTTGATAAAATTTCGCAAAGGTATTTCCGAGCCCTTTAAGATATGTGGTACCAAATACCATTGTTGTCGAATGCATATTACGAATGTAAGGGACTTAAACACCAAATCGGATTAAACATGTATATGGGAGCTATAGCTATATCTGAACAGATTTTCACCAAAATATAATGCACTTGCTTCTGGACTGAACTTGTTCGGATATGCTAAAATTCAGGTCATTTGGACTTATATTGATTGGATTTGATGCACAATTAACCCGAAATCGGTTGAGGATATATATGGGAACTATATCCAAATCTTAACCGATTTTGACAAAATTTGATATACTTACTTCAGAGCTATATCTGATATCTGGTAACAAAGATCATTTTTGTGAAATGCATATTATGCTTGTGAGGGACTTTTAACCCCAAATCGTATGAAACATATATATGGGAGCTATAGCTATATCTGAAGCGATTTACACAAAATTTGATGTAATTATTTCTATATCGAATTCGGACGTAATTGCCAAATGTCAGTCCATTTGTTCTAATATTAGCGATTTGGTGCACAATAAATCTGATATCGGATAAAGATATATATGTGAGTTACATCCAAATCTGAATCGATCTTGATACAATTTGGCACAGGTATTTCTGGGATGTATCCGGTTTCCGGTACCAAATATCAATCTAGTGGAGTCCATATTTCGCATGTGAGGGACTTAAAACCCTAAATCGGATTAATCATATATATGGGAGCTATAGCTATATCTGAACCGATTTTCACCAAATTTGATGTAAATGCTTCTAGGCTGAATTCGGTGGGATGTACCGAAATTCAGGTCATTTGTACTTATAATGACCATTTGGTGCACAATTAACCCAAAATAGGTTGAGGATATACATGGGAGCTATATTTAAATCTGATCCGATTATCTCCAATTTCAATATTGTTCGTTCTTGGGCCAAACAAATATTGTTTGGAAAATTTCATCTCAATCGGACAATAAATGAGACCTGCATTTTGTTCACAAGAATACATGGACAGGCGGACGGACTGATATGCATAAATCGACTCAGAAAGTGATTCTATGAAGATCCTCAAAAGTAACTATGGGTCTATCTCGCTTCCTTTTCCATGCTATAAAGAACACTATGTGGTGTAGGGTACAAAAATGCTTTGCTGAAACATGTTAGCCTATAAATATTTAAAATATAAAATCAAAGCCACACTAAGAAAATACAGCGGGGACCTTCAAAACCCCTAAAATCTCAGGAATCGATACATATGGTGCGCTGTTGCAATTCTAAAAATCTTAAATCTCCGTTAGGTTTTTATAAAAGAAAAATACATTTTTAACACATTTCTGGTGCTTTTTGAAACCTTAGAAAAATTCAATTCTTAATTTCACCTTAAAAATTTAATTTAAAAAATATAAAATTCCGCTATGTAATCCAATGTCTTTGTGCCGTAAACATCCAAACGTATTTGTATGTAACTCTGGCCAATACCTCCAGCGGCAACAACACAATTTACATTACGTGTTGTTACAGTGAAAATCACCTCGACAAAGGCCAAAGATGGTCCTCCTCCATTGGGTGGACATCTTAAGGTCAGGTTAACATCGTGAGGCGTGGGCCAATAGCTTCGATCTTTTCCAGTACAGCCGACACGAACTGGAAAATCAAATTTGTTCAAATTAATCCAAAGTTCGAAATGTATTTCTTTCCCTTACCGGTTTTCTTTTGACCCACTGTACACCGAAAGGTGTATTCCGTATCACCCACATCATTTTGTTGCACTTTTAATTCCTCCAATTCAGCCGTTTGCTTTGGGTCACTTTCGATGGCTTTGACATTTTCATCGGCATGCAGGCAGGCAATGCTGGCCAGTAAAATGAGGAGTAGGGGTTTATAAAAAATTACCATGTCTCCGTTTCAATTCGAGTCTATAAAAATTTCAATGTGCACTGAATTTTCCTCTGAACATTCACTGGATTTTATAGGACATAGTTCTTTGTTCCACAAATATTACAAAATCGTGATTAATCTTGATAATGACATTGGCATTGTTTTAATTTAATGAACAAAAGCGATGTGAAATACATAGACTATTTGCATTGGGAAAACTAAAGGTCAATGACCTTTAGTTGCATAATGTCAATTCGCAATGCAGGAAAATTACGTCAAGGTGGATGTTTTTCACTGAATTTTCAGTCATATTTTAAAATAACAATATGTAATTGAAGAATTATGAAAATGTCTATTTCTGATTCAGATAACAATAATAATTACTGCTTCCTTGAGAAACCTTGGCAATCTCATGTCAAGCTGTCTCATAGAAGCATTAAGCCAAATGCTCTTTACATACGGGCTGAAAAAAAACTGGTCCTATATTTTTTGGTAATAGCCTGCCTACTTAATAAGAATTTAGATACCAAAATTTGACATAATTTAATAGAAAGTCATACTTCAAACTTCAAAAAAAAAAAAAAAAAAAAAAAAAAAAAAAAAAATGACATTTAAGAAAGTCTTAAAGTCGGGCGGGGCCGACTTTATGATACGCTATACCATTTTGCTAATTTAGTAGAGCTCCAAATAACAATTAAAAGTTTTTATGGGAGAATTCAATCATACACTCTATGATTATAATTATAATTTAAAGTTCAAAGGACTAAATATGCCGAAGCATTTGTATCTTTTAAATTCGGACTTGTATTGCCCATTTGATATATATGGGAGATATATCCAAATCTGGACCGATCTCGATAAAGTTTGGCAAATATATTTCTGAGCTGAATTTCATATATTTCCCTGAATATCGTTGTTACCGAATGCATATTACGGCTGTGGGTAACAAAAATAACAAACCAGATGAACAATATATATGGGAGCTATAGCTATATCTGAACCGATCTTCACCAAATTTAACATACTAGCTTCTAGATTCAATTTGGTCGTAAGTGCCAAATTTCATCCCATTTGGGCAAATATTAGACGTTTGGTGCACAATAAAAGGTAAATCGGACGAAGTTATATATGGGAGATATATCCAAATCCAAACCGGTCTCGATAAAATTTAGCAAATGTATTTCTGAGCTGTATTTGATATATTTCCCCAAATATTTTTGTTACACAGTGCATATTACGGCTGCGGAGGACAAAAATAACAAATCGGATGAACAATATATATGGGAGCTATAGCTATATCTGAACCGATTTCGATTAAATTCGGTATACTTATTTGCAGGTCTAATTTGGTTGTATGTGCAAAATTCCACATTACTCGGGCTTATATTACACGTTTGGTGCACAATAAAAGGCAAATCGGACGTAGATATATATGGGAGCTATATCTCCAATTGACCGATTATCTCCAATTTCAAAAGGGTTCGTCCTTGGGCCAAACAAATAATTTGTGCAAAATTTCATCTGGATCGGGTAATAATGCAAACTGTACTTTGTTCACAAATATACATGGACAGACGGACGGACATGCATAAATCGACTCAGAAGGTGATTCTATGCAGATCATCAAAAGGAACTATGAATCATTTTTTTTTTGGTTCGGATCAAATACGTTTCAGGATATTTGGAGTCGATCTAGATGTGTCCTTCCGTCTGTATGTCTGTCTCTCTGACTGTCTGGTACGCTCGATAGCTCTCGAAGCGGGTATCTGACTTGGTCCAAACTTGGTACATCGTAATATTTTTAATAAACTAAGATCAAGTTCGTAGATGGGCAACATCGGTTCCCTCCTTCTGGTATCTCCCCCCACAGAAGTTCGAAATATTTCTACTAACACAAGATCTGGTATTAAAATGGTATACAGGGTGAGATAAAAAAAACTGCAACAAAGTCCAACGCCATAATTATTCATTTTTTTTAAATTTGCTTGAATGAAAGCAAAAATGTCGGAAATAGCATAAAATTTTAGAATAAGTTTAGATTTGTTCGAATTGGTCACCTTTGGTACGAATTATGGCCTTCAAACGGTCAATCAAACCTTTATACCCTGCCCAAATGTTGCTCCGCGGTATTTTGGCCCATTCCCGGCGAAGCGCTTGCTTGAGGTGATCGACTCGTTGGTATTTTTTAGTGCCAACCTTGCTTTCCAAAATACTCCAGACACAATAGTCCAACGGATAGGTATCCGGAGATTTTGGTGGTCATTGTGCGTTGGAAATGAAGCGAGGAACCTCATTTTGTTTCCACTCTTGAGTGGCGCGTGCTGAGTGCGATGGTGGTGAGTCCAAGGTCTGCGGCCAAAATGTTTGCTTGCCCTAGGCGTTAATACACCCTCCTGAATATTTTCGCTATAATATTCGACATTTATTCTGATGCCACGGCCGATTATTACGAGCGGAGAGCGACCATCGGATGTTATGGCGGCCAACACCATGACCGGCGCTGGAGTTTTGATGGCCAACCGAAGTTGCAAATTTTAAGCTGACCTCTTCGGCAAGTAAACACAATCATTTTGTTTGTTTACAAACTGCTCGTAAACGAATGTGTTCTCATCGGAGAAAACCAAATTCGGCAGTTCACCACTTTCGGCCAAGCGAAAAAACTCTTTAGATCTTTTGAGTCTATTTTCTTTCTGTTGCGGTGTAAGTTCTTGCACTTTTTGAAATTTCAATGGCTTTACCCCGAGCTTATTTTTCAATATTTGCCGAATGGAATATTGCAAATTTTCAGCTCTCGAGCCATTTTTCGGACACTCCAACGCGGGTTTCGATCAAGTCGCTTCTTTTATTTTCGAACCATTTCTGCTGATGTTGCTGTTTTCTTGCTTCCATTTCTTTGACGTCGGGCTACGCTACCAGTATCACGGTAACGCTAATCACGGTAATGCTGGAGTGCTCAAACGATAGCCACTTGTGGTTTCCAGCCAAATATAAAGAAATCACACTATCACGCTTGGATTCCACCACGAATAACTTTTTTTCTGGAAAATTCTCACCGAAATCTTTTGTAGGCTTGTAAACAATATAATGAGCAGTCACTGGAATAATTTTAACAGCTGTCGGACGAGTGGTTTAGAAATGACCGCAGTCTGAAGTTGGTTGCAGGTTTTTCATTTAACCCTGTAGGGTATATATCATTTGACACGACCAAAAACGTGCCTCACCGAAATAACGTTTTTGGACCCTAAATCTTTTGAACAAAATTCGTTTCAGGACATTTTGAGTCGATCTAGAGGCGTCCGTCCGTCTGTATGCCTGTCTCTCTGGCTGGCTGGTATGCACGATAGCTCTCGAAGATAGCACGATAGCTATGATTTGGTCCAAACTTGGTACATCGTAATATTATTATTAAACTTAGATCAAGTTAGTAGATGGGCAATATCGGTCCCCTTACTTCTGGTATATACCCCACAAATGATCGAAATATTTCTACTAACACAAGATCTGGTATGAAAATGCTATATATATATATATATATATATATATATATATATATATATATATATATATATATATATATATATATATATAAAAACATATCATAACCATGAAGCTCATACAACGCCAAAGTCCAAGTAATTCCTATCCCGGCATATCTATTAACACATGATCAGATGTGAATATGGAATATGCCGGACTACTCCGTTTGTTACCTCTCCCAAAACGGGCCAAATTTTGAAGGATTATATCTCCGATAAAAAATATTTTGTCGCACAGAGTTATTAAATATTAGGTTTTGCAACACATTGATAAATTCCAGAACCGGCAGAGACTATGACGTTCTTGCAAAAGGTCTATCAAAGCTTATCTGTTATTAAATGCACTCATCCTATGTATTGATATGAAATTTAATAAATCCTTTTAATTCTACAATAAATGTACGTAATTAATTTATTTGTTAATACATGTCTTAAATGAAATCATTGGATATTAACTGTTTATTTGCTATATATAGTATTTGCCATTATCAATGCCGATAGATAATGCCAGCTGGTAGGGCAGTTTCATTTTTATCAGTTCACGAGATAGCGAAAAAATATGTTTGTGCGTTTGGTAGATAATTTAATATATTGGATATGTTCGACAGTCAAATCAAAAAAAATATATAACTATATAATAAATATTTTACTGGGTTCTGATTGTCCTCAATTAGAGTTGTATTTCAAAGTCCCATACACATTGGTCCGACAGTTTCCTCAAGTCAAATTCAGACAATGTTCGACATTGCAAATAAAATTATTAAGACACAAAAAAAAATACAATGAGGCTAATTAATAAAGCAATAATCTATAGGTATGTACAGGGTGAGCTTAAAAAACTGCAACCAACTTTAGACTTCTGTAATTTCTAAGCCACTCGTCCGACAGCTGTTAAAATTATTCCAGTGACAGCTCATTATATTTTTTACAAGCGTACAAAAGCATTTTGGTGAGAATTTTCCAGAAAAAAAATAAGTCGCGATAAAATTCAAGCGTGATAGTGTGATTTCTTTATATTTGGCTGGACAAACACAAATGACTATCGTTAGATCACTTCAGCATTTAAATGTGTGAATGATACCGTGATACATCAAGGAAGTGGACGGAAGAAAACAGCAACATCAGCAGAAATGGTTCGAAAAATAAAGAAGCGACTTGATCGAAACCCGCGTCGCAGTGCCCGAAAAATTGCTCATGAGCTGAACATAGCGCCATATTCCATTCGGCAAATTTTGAAAAATGAGCTCGGGGTAAATTCATTGATATTCTAAAAAGTGAAAGAACCTACACCGTAACAGGAAGAAAATAGACTCAAAAGAGTTGCTTCGCATGGCCGAAAGTGGTGAACTGCCGAATTCGGTTTTATCCGATGAGAAAACGTTCGTTTCCCAGCAGTTTGTAAACAAATAAAATGATCGTGTTTACTTGCCTATAAGGTCAGCTGAAAATGTGCACCTTCGGTTGGCCACCAGAACTCAAGCGCCGACCATGGTTATGGTGTGGGCCGCC